TTTAAATTTTATTTATAAATTAATTAATCAAACATATATTTTATTAATTAAATATATAAAGGTCACAATTCCATATAATTTGATCACAAATTCTATATAAGTGGTCACATATTATTAATTTGTCACAAATCAGAAATTTTATGTCACAAATTATTTTACAGTCGTGATTCAAAAATTTTATATGTCACAATTTGTTAATCGGTTACAAATAAAAAATTGAAATGTCACAAATTATTTTACGGTCACAATTCAAAAAATTTATATGTCGCAATTTATTCATCGGTCACAAATCAAAAATTTTATAAGTCACAAATTATTTTACGGTCACAAATCAGAAATTTTATAGGTCACAATTTAGAAATTTTATAAATCACAATTTGTTCATCGGTCACAAATAAAAAATTTATACGTCACAACTTATTTATCGGTCACAAATCACAAATATTATAAGTCACAGCTTAGTAGACAGTCACAAACTGTCAAATTATCGATNTACGTCACAACTTTTTCATCGGTCACAAATCACAAATATTATAAGTCACAACTTAGTAGACAGTCACAAATTGTCAAATTATCGGTCACAAATTAACAATTTTTTAGGTCATACATTATTTATTGGTCACAATTTATATTTTTTATTGGTCACATGTTGTTTATCGGTAAAAAATTAATGGATTTAATGGTCACAAACGACCAAATAATCTGTGACCACAACCACCACTTGTGATCACCACCTCACCACTCTCATCAGCACCACCACCGTCGAATTTACTTCATTGGTCACAGATAAAAAAAACTATAGATCACAGTTTATCGATAAGTCACATATTTTCAAATTTTTTTGTCACAGATTATCGAAATTTAATGTCACAAATTAATAATGAGTCACAATGAACCAAATAGTAGGTCACATACACTAAACACCCCACCCCGTCCCGATCCTCTACCAATTCTTGGTCACAAATCAACCAAATAATTGATCACAACTGGTCACAGATGACCAAATAATTACTCGCATACACCAAAATAGTGTTCACATACCACCGCCACAAACACTACCATTACTAGCACATGCGACCACCCTCACGCCGTCACAACTGCAAGAGCACCACCACCCACAAACACCACAACAACACCACCAACAAAAACGCATCCCCACTACCACCAACAGACGCACGACCACTATTTTGCAACCCCCAACAACTACCTGCACCAAGCAACCTGCACCACTAAACAACACGTACTCAACCATCACACACCACGATCGCACCCAAACCAACCACCGCACTCAACACCATGCCCAACCACAATCGCACTTACCACCGCGATCTACACTACTGCAATTGTCATCTGGCCACTAGAGATCTACCACCACGCTCACAACATATCACCACCACCTCAAAGCACCCCCACACGACTCACAGCAGCGATGCTTATTGCACAGAGATAGCAGCAGCACCGGTCACGCTAGTTCGTGCGGCAGCGGTTCGCGAAAATCCCCGCGATAACAACAATCTGGAGTTGCGCACGACGGCATTGTGGGTGAGAATCCGAAGAGAAGAGAGTGTGAGAAGACGGAGAGACGAGAAAAGGAAGAGGAAAATTCTAGGGTTTGCATCCGTGCCGCAGCGGTGATTTGTCGCTGCGTACGTCGACGTACGGGAGAGAAGAGAGAGAAGTCGGAGAGAGAAACGAGAGATTGAGAAGACAGAGAGTGAGAGTGAGAAGACGGAGATGAAGAGAGTCAGAAAAGGGGGAAAATTCTAGGGTTTGCTTGTTTGGAATGAAAATTGTATATTTAATACTTAAAATAAAAATTAAGGAGCTGTTCTCTTTGGTATTTTCGGGTCATTTTCTGTTTTCGATTTTTCAAAACGATGAAAACTCGTTCTCTTTCTCATTTTCGAAAATGAATTTTGGAAAACAAAAAAAAAAAATTGTACTAGAAACACAAAACAACCAAAACTACGTTTTCACCATTTTCGTACAGAACACGGTGAAATAAAAAAAACACGGGAAACACCGTTTTCAACTTATCCCATTCCTCTGTTTCCATTTTCCTCTACCCCACATCTCTTACAGCCTCCGTTAGGAGCTTTCCGACGCCGATTTCCCAACGCCTAGCAGCCGTTTGGTTAGCACTAAAATATCTCAACCACATCCACAGACCCACAATTTTCCATTAAAAAATACCACTATTAATTGCCATGACCATCTCTCCAGCCTTCTTTTCTTCGCTCCTCAACGTATCCACCTCAAAAATCCCAAACTCAGATACCCCTTTTGCCAAATCAAATACCCTTCAAGAAGAAGGACACATTCGATCCATTTCCACCCCATAAGATATGTCGCAGATTCAATTTCCAATATAGATAATCAACCGGTTGTTGCCTCGTCATCGACCCCTAGCAGTTCGGCTACAACTACGAACTCTGTAAGTCTTGCCGATGATAGTGTTAATGATGATGAGTTGAAAAAAGCTGAGTCGATAGTTAGGGCTAAGGTCAGGATTAAGATGCCATTGAAGGTTTACCATGTGCCTAAAGTACCCGAATATGAGTTGACAGGAAATGTAGGTGTGGTGAAGCAGTATGTTGGGGTTCATAAAGGGAAAACGATTTCAACTAATTTGCCTTATAAAGTGGAGCTCGTGGTGGATGAGGTTCTAGGGCGTGATGGGAAGCCACTGAAATTTTTGGCACACCTGAGGGATGACGAGTTTGAATTTCTTGACTGATCTTATGGTTAGTTTTATTTAATTGCTATTCCTTTTTTGTTGAATGTTTTGATAGTGACACTGGATGACTTGTTGTAATAATTTTATGTACAAGTGTTATATTTACAACATTGTAGATAATTTACTGTTTTGAGGTCATATTTTTTGGTCTACTTGATCAATTGCCTTTCAAGAAAATTCTGAGAAATTCATTGAGGATCATTCTATTATTTCATTTAATTTATCTAAAGACAACAAGTTTTTACTTGTCAGTTTATCGAACCAAGAACTCCATCTGTGGAATATAGAAGGGAATGTGAAGCTAGTAGCCAATATTATATCTGTGGAATAGGCTTCTTGTATACAAACTAAAACTGTTTGTGGTACTCATGTCCTCCAATCAATCGATGGCTATTGTTGTCAGTGTTGTTAATGAACCTTCTATCTGGACAAGCATGTATTATATTTGCGCATTCTTGCACTTCATACAAAGTGCTAATTACATTGAGGCCACCACGTCTAGATGGAGTATACCACTCTTTAAGTGTCAACAATTTTCAATGTTACAGTAGATTGGAATTTATACTGTGGGTGTGTTTGCCATGGTTAGTGATAAGTGTGGAAAAACACACTTATTCGACA